CCTAAAGTTCTGTGATTCTGTGATTCTGTAGCAGATACTTTTGCATGCCACCCTGAGAAGCATTGGGCAAAGCTGCATTTCTGAGCCTGAGGAGAGGCTGCAGTTTGTATCATATGATGACCAGTATTTGGGCATCCAGCGGAGGCTTCCGAACGCAAATCAATGGGATTTGGCTGCACAGCTCTAAGTTATTCACTGCACAAGTTAAAAAAACCTTGACCCTAGATTTCCTGCCAGCGGGTCAAATCTTGTCAATCTTATAAGCAAGTTTCCAAGAAAGGCTTAAATATTAGGCCATGTCCAAGGAGATTTATAATCTTTAAGAGTTAATTCTGACACTGCCTCGTGAGTCCTTGGGAAAACATCCCTCATGTCTCAATGGCTCAGGGATGATGGCTCTGTCAGTGTTCCCCTGCCTATGTCTGCAAGAAACATCATTTGAAATTGAGGTACCTTAACAGCCAGGAAGGTAAAATTCTGGCCCGATTCCTTCACTATGTATCCCAGGTCAAACACGGGGCATAAGGAGTCGGTGACTTTGTGATAGGTGCATTTCTTCAGGTACTGTTTGGTAACACTTTCAACCAAGTTGCGCCTGTGAAGGAAAAGAGAGCGAGAAGGAGTCTGAATGACCCAATAATTTGGGCAGGAAAGGACCTCGGGATGCCCCTGGTCCTACCCATTGCTCAAAGCCAGGTAACTCCAAAACTGAGGACTTCATGCTCCTCCCTCAGACCCTGCTCAGCAGATCCTGCACATGGAGAGTGGGCCCTTTCCTCCAGCCCTGCCTGGTTTCTTCTACCCCATCAGCAGCTCACATCCCCTGAACCTCCTTTTGCAGATGAAGCCTCTCTGCTGTTTTCTTTCCTGCAAATGGTCTCCACCTCTGCTTTGAGTTTGCTCCTTTGCCTGCTACCCGAACCAAATTCTCCAGCACGCATCTGCCAGTCGTCACCTCTTCTAGCAACCTCCTCTTCTTCCTCAGCTTTGCAGACCCTCCCATGGCCTCTGCCATCCCTCCTGGCTGCCTCCTCTGTTTGCGTGTCAGCTTGCCCATGGCTTCTGCCAGGCAATGCTCCATGTACCAACAGTTTTCATCTGTCCATACACTCGTGGATAGCGTATCCCACAGCTTGTACATTTAGCTGGATTTTGCCTTCTCCTCCAGAAAGGGTGAAAAGGAAAGGACAATGTCTTTCCTCCCACCCCCTCTGCTCTTTTGCCTAAAAATAGTCTTTCTGCAAAGCCTCCCTGACCCAGATGGCTTTGTAAACCTTGCGCCTTGCTCAACCCTGTCCCACTGTTTATGCTCAGGAGTTAATTAGCAACCATGATCAAAGGCAGGAAGTCTCTCAATGACCCTGGCCAGCTCCAGCTCAGCCTCTGCAGCAACTGCCAGCCCGGCCCCCTCAGCTGCCAGAACCTGCTGTCCCACACTGTGTTCCCTGTCCTGCTGCCCTCACCCAGGTTGCCACCCATCCTTGCTGCTGGTGGGGATCTCCCCTCTCAGACACCTCTCAGGGTGCAGCCTGAGGTCGGTTTGAGATTTTGCCAAGTGTGCCGGCTGCCAGGGCGTTTAACCTTGGCTGCAGCATGGTGGACGTGTCCAGCTTAGAGAGAGGAATCCACAGTCTTCAGCACAAAAAGCTTCTGTTAACTTGTTCCAAGTCAGATATATAATCAGTGCCATCACAAATCCTCTTACATGTGTGCCTTCAGCCAGCAGCACCATTCCTGGCACTGCCTGGAAGGGGCCGACCTTACAACTCACTGCAGAAACCAGTGGGAACCATGATGCTAAGAGAGGCCTCTGCTCATTTTTGGGCATCAAGCTCATTCTCACACCCCACTGAGACATTTAGTATTTTCCTGCTATCTTTGAGGAGGAAAAGGGAGAAAAAAAAAAGAAGAATCAGATAAACTGTATTTTAATGTGCATCGTATGAGGCTAACCCAGGGACATTAATTCCAGAAACCCTCATTCCCTTAACCACAGCCATCAGCTGAAGTGGGACATAACTGGGAGGGAAACGTCTCCATTCCTATCAGCTAATCTGGTGCAGCAGTTAGAGTAGACCTGGGCTCGCTGATGAGGAACAGCAGAAGCTGTCCCCCCAAACCTCCTCGTACCTGGACACCTTGAACTTGGGGAAGGTGATGCTGTTCTTGATGAACAAGGTGAAGTTCTCTGCTTCTGACAACAAGGCAGGGCTGAAAAACACAAGTGTTGGCATGTGTCCATCACTTGGCTCTAGAGAAAGCCCCGTTTGGAGAGAATTCATCCAAACTGGGACAAGAAAGACCCAGAAAAACTGGTGATCTCGTCCCTGCCCTTTCTAAGTGGAAGATCCCCAAAAGGTTCAGAAAAGCCCCAAGGAAGGGGGGAAGTGCTTGTTAGAGGACAGAGATGGAGCTGGGTGCTGCAAGTTCAGTTAAGAAACCCCAAAAGCACAGTAAGGTGTCTGGAATAGAGCTCCAGGGCCCAGGGTGCCTCCCTGGGCTCCTTGGCAGACCCATGGCTGTTCCTGTTGCCCTCCCTGCCAGGAGTGGGGGCAAGGAGAAACAGGACTTTGCATCTACCAGGAGATGCTTCACAGTGGCCCACAGAGGCTGGAGGTGGAGAACATCGCATGGGCAGAGCACAACTTTAAAGTCAAGCAGGATAAACAGGGGCTGCTGGTCCATGCACAGAGCACCCAGCAGGGATGTGCATGGGCAGAGGACAACTTTACTCTAAAGTCAAGCAGGATAAACAGGGGCTACTGGTCCATGCACAGAGCACCCAGCAGGGATGGGGTCAGCCACGAGCGAGGTGGGGAGCAAACCATGCCAGAAGAGGCGCAAATCCCCTGAGGACATCAGGCAGCATTTACAGCCATGGAGTCTGCATCAACCCAGGCTGTCCTGGCAGAGCCCTGGCTTGCTCTGCCCTACACCAAGTACTGCTGGTGCAGCTGGGGTGGGATCGGAGTGGAAAAAGAGCCAACAACATCACTGCTTACCTAGGAACATAGTCATCAACTTCAACAGGGCACCAGCCAAAGATCTCGCAGGTCTTCACAGAGCTGTTGAAATGCACACACTTGCCTGTCATGAGCCCTGCGGGAAAGAGAGATGGCTGCTTAACCCTGGATACTGGGAAAACCTAGCCTCACACTGGGATGGATGGGAGCTGGTCAGAGCTTCAGCCCTGCCACAGACATCCAAGGCACAAAACAGTCAGGGCTTTGGTGCCCCTTTATACAAAGGGGAATTATAATGGTGATCCCGAGGCAGTGGTTTCTCTTGAACTATTGCACAGGGGAGCAACTGGGCATTTTTCTTGCTAAAATACACCTCAGAAAATGCTGAGCTGTTAGAAAGAGAGCAGTCTGGGGGAAATGGTTTAGTATTGATTAACCTTCTTACAGCTCAGATCTCTTTTGGAAGAGGAGAGCAGGACCAGTTTAGGTAGGACCTTCACCCAGGATCATATCATAGAATCATAGAATGGTTTGGGTTGGAAGAGACCTTAAAGCTCCCCCAGTCCAACCCCTGCCATGGGCAGGGACACCTCCCACCAGCCCAGGCTGCTCAAAGCCCCGTCCAACCTGGCCTTGAACACTGCCAGGGAGGGGACACCCACAGCTTCCCTGGGCAACCTGGGCCAGGGCCTCACCACCCTCACAGTCAAGAATTTCTTCCTAATATCCAGTCTAAATCTCCCCTCTTCCAGTTTAAAACCATTGCCCCTTGTTCTATGGCTACCTGGCCTTGTAAAAAGTCCCTCCCCAGCTTTCCTGTAGGACCCCTTCATGTCAGAGGCTTTTCCCAAACCCCATCAGCCACTGGTCCAAAGCAGGACCCCCTGCCCAACTCCCCCACCCTACGGCTCTGTGTCTCAGCAGAAAGGCTGGTGCTGGAGCGTTGGTTCCAGTGCCGTACCTTGTCCCTGGCGGCTGTATTTCCCTTTGCTGCAATCGCTGTCCCGTGTGCAGAGCCCTGCGTCCGGCAGCTATTGGGAGAGAGCAGGCAGCAGCCTCTCAGCATCACACCCCGTGATTTCAGTCCCTCAGTCCCTCCTGCTGCACCAGGCAGCATTTTATCTGGGGGAAATGAAAAGCCCATACACTGCTTCCCAACCACAGATGTCCAGATTAAGCAGGAAAAAGGGCTAATTTCACCCGGGGGAAATGAAAAGCCCGTACACTGCTTCCCAACCACAGATATCCAGATTAAGCAGGAAAAAGGGCTAATTTCTTTTTTAAACTCCAGGCAGATAATTTTATTCAAGCCTCGAGCCTTCTCTGCTTGATCATCTCAAAGGGAAGAAAGTGTAAATGGATGCTGGCTTTTTTTCAGCAGAATAAAAGCCTTCACATCATGCTTGCGAGTCAGGGATGATAATATGGGGCTGGGCTCAGGCTTTCACCAAACCTCTCAATGTCCAGAAAACTCGTTTCTCAGTACCACCACCACAACCCCCAAAATAAAAGAAGCTGAGGCCACTGAAGGAAGCCAGCACGTTTACCTCTGGGCAGGTGCCTTGCTTCTGTCCAGGGGTGACAATGAAGTTGGTCATCACCACGAAAGAGCTGTCCCCCTGCAGAGATACAGCCAATGAGCTCACTGCCAGCACAGTGTTTTCTGATGGAGCCTCTCCTGGGGTGAGGGTAGGGCACCCAAACCACCTGGCATGTCCAGGCAGATGGCACCTTTCTCCCTAACTTTGGGTCTTCCACCTTCCTCTGCCACAGCCTGGGAAGCTGGTGGTGGCCCTGCAGTGCCACCAGCCCCAGGGACAGTGGAGGACCCCCTTGCTGCCTGAGATGCTTGTCTGGGGACACCAGAGAGGAGCCTTGATCCCTTAGCAAGCAGCCTCAAACATGCCACATCAACCATGGTGGGTCCCAAGCACCGAATGTTCCACCATGAGGATGCCATGTCATCGTTAGCCCCACAGAAAGTCTCCCCCAAGGAGCCCACCTGCACCCTGGCATATGGGGAAAAGCGGCCAGGGGGACAAAAGCAATCCTCCTAACCCACCTGCCCTGCCCTGCCTCCTTACCTGAGGGGGGAAAACATAATCCACCACATCCCAGATGTGCAGGCCCAGGATGCTTTCATTGGTCAGCGTCAGGCCCTTCAGCTTCACCGAGACCGAGCTGACAATGCTGTCCTGAGACTGGTAGCCCTTCTCGTAGAGGAAGACCCACCTGGATGGGGAAAGGTGGTGGGGTGAGCATGGCCACCAGTGCTCATCCGCAGGAGCCCCAAGTCCCAGCACATCACTGCAGACTGGGGCTTCTTATACCAAGTCTCACCTTGGGGCTTATTTGCCAAATTTCCTCCAGCTGGATGAAAGGCATGTTGCTGAGCTCTCCCACCCTTTGCCCAGTGCATGTGGTTGGTAGCTGCAGGACCTGACTTTCACAGCAGGATGATTTCTTTTGAGGACTGGGACATGGTGGTTGTGGTTGAGGGTGTGTGAAGCCAGGGGGAACAAGGTGGCCATCGGCCATTTGGGATTAAAGCCTACAGTGGAGTTGCAGTTTGCTGGGCTTGGTGACCCCCCTGGACCGTCCTGATCCACCGCAGAGGCATTCTCAAGAAATCAGTGGCTTCAGGGCCAAGACAGGGGTAAGTCTGAACACAGCACACGTCCAGGGCCACCATTCCCTACCCAGCAAAGGGAACATGGAGCCATGGCCCTGGGTGCAAGAGGGCTTCTGGAGCAGGGTTGGGGACATCGCTGTGGCTGGCACAGGACTCTCCCTGTGTTTTCCAGCCCATTGCACTGCTGTTAGGTCCGACTCCTGACACTATTTAACCTACAGCATAAACAAGCTACTGCTGGATTAACTCTGACTCAGGGAGACTATAAACACAGGCAAGGAACCATTTTGGGTAGCGTTCCCAGCGCTAAAAAAGGAGTGTTCTGGTTTTTGTCCCCACTGCCATGGGCACCAGTCCCGCTGGTGGTGACAGAGACAGCGCGTGGCCCGTGACACCATCCTGGTGTGCCAGCCCATCCTTGGGCTCCCCAGGGGCATGGAGAGGGAATGGGGGAACCCTGGGTGCTGCTCAGGGGTCTGCCCTATGGGTGCCGGACCTTATGGGGACATCTTGGGGATGGCGCTTTTTGGTTTGCAGCCCGATCAGCATCCCAGGACAGGGGGCCAGGGGACCTCAGGGACAGTGTCTGCCCCAGCACCTGAGGATGGGAGCAGAAATTCAGCACCGCTGCCACCCCCAACTGGGACCCCTAGTTCCACCACCTCCTCCAGGGCAGAGGGCCATGTTGGGTTACACTGGTTATACTGGGCTTCTTTCCCAGTCCCCTTGGGGCTGCTGCTGCCACCCTGTCTCTCCCTGGTGGAGGTGACTGTGGGCACCCCTCCTGTGACTCAGCCTCCCCGGGGCAGGGCAGGATGCAGCCCCCACCCTGCTGCTGAGCCACGGCCACGGCAAACAAGGCATCATTTCCCCAGCACGCTGTAAATACTGCATCCAGCCCTGCTCAGGAGGTAAAAGTCCCCAGATGTCACTCCCCAACATGACAGAGTCACTAAGCCCTCCTTCCTCACCAACCTCATCCTGTGGCTCAGCCTGTGGCCTCCTCGTGTGTGAGGTTTTCAGGAAACAAAAGCCAGAAAGCAACGGCCAGCAGGGGTAACACTGCGTCGCGGTGTCAGCCCCACGTCCCTCCTCTACACCCATGACACTGCCACATGTCCCTCTGGCACAGCCGTGCATCAGCACAGACCCCCACGAGCATCCCGCGCCTGCTGCCAAGGGGGAGCAGAGCTGGCGTAAAGAGTCATTGAATCATTAAGATTGGAAGAGGCCTCCAAGATCAAGTCCAACCCCACTATGCCCACTAAACCGTGTCCCCAGGTGCTACATCTACACTTTTTTGAACACCTCCAGGGATGGTGACTCCACCACTTCCCAGGGCAGCCGCTTCCAGTGCTTGGCCATTCTTTCAGTAAAGAATTTTTTTCCACATATCCAATCTAACCCTCCCCTGGCGCAACTTGAGGCCATTTCCCCTTGTCCTGTCACTTATTACCTGGGAAAAGAGGCTGACCCCCACTCACTACACCCTCCTCTCTGTCTACCAGGCTCACTTTCAAAGAGGAAATCTCAAGCATCACAGCTCAGCGCAGACAGGGAACTGGAGGCTGTGCTGCAGATAGTGAGGGGCTGCCAACAGCCTCAGGGGCGATGGGCAGCCACACTCACAGGCAGCCCCTTGCTAGTGGAGCCTGACTCCACCAGAACAGTGAAAACTTGGGAATTACAGCAAACTTATGCCAACCTCCTCCCTTCTGCCTGTCACCCTCAGGCTAGGTCTCTTTTTTCTCCCCCATGGCTGCCTGTCCAGGTTTAGCTGGGTTGCTTAAGCTGCATTTCCTCAGGAGGCTCCGCTTTGAGCAGCCACTTCTGCCAGTCAGGAGCAGCTGGCCCTGGCCATGTCTGCTGGAGCCTGGGAGCTTTGCAGACTCAGCCCTCAGGAGAGCCAATGTGGCTCCCAGTAACACCAGTTTGGGCCAGTGCAAAACCCTTTGCAATGGAGCATCCTTAAGACCTTGGCTCAGCAGCAGTTTGGGATGAGGATCAGCCCTGTGAGCCAAAGTGTCAGTGAGCAGTGTGGGAGTGATGTGGGGTCCCACAATGACCCCCTGGGGATCTGGGCTAAAAGCTGAGATGGGTACTGCTGCTCCCTGCAGCTTTTCCCTTGCACTGGGAGCTCCTGTCTCTCCTTTGGGCTGCACTGGGTGCCCTGTGCTTCATAATACTCATTTTTTTCCAGTTCATGGCCTACTCTCCCTGCAAACCTCCCACTGTGGGGCCCCTCCTGACGGAAGGGTGCTGGTGTTTCCCCCCCAAGGGTCGGGCTCACTGCAGCCATGGCACAGCAAAGATTTTTTTTACTGTTATCAACTATCGCATCCCATAGCATGGCACATCGCACCATGCCGAGGGGACGGGGACCAAATTGCTGTGGCAGGAGCAGCAGCCCTGAGGCACTGGGGGACATGCATCCTCACATGGCTCTGAGCCCACCTGCTCCACTCGATGCCTTTTTTAAGCAGCTGCTCCTGCTCTCAGAGCTGCCTCCCACAAGTGAAGCAAAGCAGAGATTTGGAGCAAGGCTCCATCCTGCCCCCCGCCGCTGGCTCTGCCCTTCCGGCCAGGCAGTGGACCGGAGATTTATGCTCCTGTCTTGAGCTGCCTGGGTCTCACAAATCATCGTGTTGACCCCAGCTGCCTCTTATTTAATATAAATGAAAATAAAAATAACAACAGATTCTCAGGCTGCCGTCCAGCAGCTTGAGTGGGATTTGGATGCGGCTCAGCGAGGAGCCGGGGCCCCAGCACACGGAGTGGGGCTGGGCAGGGATGAGCCTGAGACCGCACATGCAGCAGCTTCTGGGGAGGAACACGGGGACTGGGTGACCATCTGGAGGAGCCATGGTGGGACAGTGGGCAGCACAGGAGTGGCCGTGGCCAGGAGGATGTAATACACCCCCTCGAATCAGGATATAGGGGATACATGAGCCCCTTCGCCTCCATTGCTTTTGAATCTGGTGGCAAAGCATTAATTCAGGGGAACGTGGGCACCAGGGAGCCTTACCCGATGATGTACGCCAGGACGATGAGCTGGATCAGCCGGAAGGTCAGTCCCACCTTCTTGTTCCTCACCAGCACCATCCTAGGGGTGTCATACTCAAAGAGGAAGGAGGACACCTTCTCCATGCACTTCTGCCCCATGGCTGCGTCAGGGCTGTGCCGCAGCCTCCCACCGGCCCCGCCGCTCACCCCGCCGTGGGTCCGGCTCACCCCGCTGTGGGTCGGGTTGTGCCTGCTGCCGCCTGAGCAACTCCTCTGTTTGCAGAGGAGAGAAAAAAAAAAAAAGAAAAAATAATAAAACTGCTATCAGTGTTGCTCTGTGCACATCTGGGCTGTTGGGTTTCCTCCTCTGCACGGGGACGGGGTTTCCTCTTCCTATAAGCGCTGGGCTGGGAGCAGCTGGTGCCCTACATGGTCTGGGGGTGGGACAGGGTGTGGGAGGGTGCGGGAGGGTGCAGGGCCACCCCACTGGTGGATAGAGCCGCCCACCCATGGGAGACTCACCCTCGCCTGGGATGGAGGGGCTGTGGGCAGGGCTCGGGGAAAGCAAGAACCACGAGGCGTCCCTGGGGGCAACATTGGGATGGAGGAAGATTGTGGGAGTCCCAGGAGAGCATTTGAAGAACTGGGGTTGAGGTATTGTAATTCCTGCCCCAGCAGCTGCCTCAGGCTGTGGGACTCCTGTCCTTGTCCCTAACCCGTGTCCTCCTCTGTTCCCCAAAGGCTGCCCCAGAAAAGGGGTCAGGAAAAGGAGGGGAGGTGCAGAAAGCCCAGCCCAGCAATTTGGAGCCAACCCGTGGGGCAGCCGGGTACCCGGCTTGGCCCCCTCCTGTGGTAAGGCCGCCCAGCTGGGGCTTGGCCAGTTCCCAGTGCTTGCACGGGGCTGGGCTGAGTGCATTTCGAATCATTTTCAGCATTTCCAGCATTTCCTGAAGGGCATGGCCATGAGCCTGGGCCACAGTGAGGGATGCTTGGCAGGGTGGCACAGACACTACTTTAAGTTAATATTGCTGAGAAAGGGGCTGAATTTGTATGTGCCAGACCCAAATGGGGACCAATATCGTTGCGCTGGGGAGCTTTGGTACAGGGGGTTTGTTGGGGACCCTCCGAGTACTGCATCCCACCAGGCAGCCTCATGGGCACTGCCCCATGGGGGTGATCTCTTTGCTGGAGAGCACTAGGGCTGAGGAGGGTCATTTCTGGAGGAAACAGAGGACTTTTCCCCAAAAAGCCCAGAGCCTGGCAGCTTCATCGCTCCCCACAAGGACCAGCTCCATCCCATGAGCTCATCCACTGCCTGCCGTGACTTTGAAGGAGGTCCTGGCTGCTCGCTGGCACTGAGACTGGGACAAGGTTCCTCTCTGCAGGGGGAAATGTTTTTGGAAACATGAAATAGTTTAACCTGCTGGGATAAAATCTTTCCGGAACATTTATTTTAACATCATCACCTTTCAGCTTCAATTGCCTATTGTTCAGCATCATGTTGACCTATCGACTCAATGTTTTACAGACCTGACAACCAGGAAATGAGTGGAACAAATTAATTCTCTTTGCTGGGCAATAGGGAAAACAAGCAAATGAACCATTTATCCAAATCTTTTTGGCCATACCATGAACCTTGGGAATCAAAATTAGATTATCCCGCGTTACAAGTGACATGACACCATCCCAATGCTCTGGTCCTCAGCAACATAGAAAGCTGTCAGATGGGGAGTCAAAAGCAAACATGAAATGCTGATGCTAATCATGTAAGATTGAATGCTGATACCGATATTGAGCAGAGCAGACAAACCTTATAAGCTTAGATATCTGTCAGGAGAGCAGCAAATAACTTACTGTATGAAACAAGACCTTTTAGGGAAGGCTGCTCACCCTTGCCAAAGCCATGGGGATAATGAAAATAGGACAGCTAAATTTAACAGCAAAATGACTTGTAAAAGAGTCACTTCTAACCTTCTCTCTGGTACTTGGAGTCAATAAAGTGGTTATAGCATGGATTTAGCTAAAATACTTTCCATTGGGAGAGAATATGCATTGCTCATTTTAGTATTGCTTGGAGTCACAATGCAGCCAGCGAGCAGGGCTGGACCCCATGGATGCAGCCAGGGTGGTGTGGAGAGCAGGGGACACCAGCACAGGAGCGCTCACAAGGCCGGGGTCTTCTCCTGGTCGGCTATCAGCACCCAGCATGGGCACCCTCCTGGCCACGACATCTAAACACGCAGAAAAATCATAGCCTAAACCCTCGTGGGTGTGCACACCACTGCTGCTCACACCTCTCCCACACTCACACCCTCCCTGAGTTTACCATTCTTTAAATGACTTTATAACAGGGAAGTTGTTGGTTCTGGGATGGCATCGCTAAGATACCTGGCCCTACAACGGCAACGTGGGCGTGAGCGTGGTGCCCGCCAGCCGGCGTGCGTGCTGCCTGTGGGGCCGCATCCCGCACATCCCTGTTTGCACAGACGCCTCTCCCAACCATAGCACACCCCTTGCCTCTGCCAGCTGCTTATCGTGGGGAAAGGCTCTGCTCGGGCTCTTAAATCGTTAAATTACGTGTCCGGCCAAGGCGGTCACCTGCTGAGGGATGTTGCATTTGCAGGGCTGTGACGTTTTCTGCTGCAGGCGCTGGGCCATCCTGATGTGAAGTCAGAGCTTGCTTTCTGTTTGCAATAATCTGCTGTTATTGTGAATATATTGCTGTAACGTCTAAATGAAAAGTAAAAGTAAAACAAGAATGAGTGGAAACAGGGGTTTATAAGTGTATTGTGTAGGGTGCAGCCCAGAGGCGTGCCACGACAGGCGCCCGCACAGCAGCTGTGACCTTGGGGATGTGTTTGAGTTCCTGTGGACCCAGAGCTCATATGATGCTGCTGATATGCTCACAGTAATTTCCTCCTAACAACCGCTGCATCTCTCAGCCACTGTCACACCAAGCAGGGGAGTGCCCTGGTGCCACAACTGCGGATGCTGCCACCCACCCTGGGCAGTGATGCTGGGTTTGCTCTGGGCACAGAAAGCACTGAGCTGGGCTTGACCCCAGCAGCACACAAACATAGGACCAAGTGGGGTGGGAGCAGGACAATGCGGGGACACAGAGGGCAAAACCAGGTAGATTTAAGGAAAAATGAGCCCATCTAGCTCCACTGCCCATGGGAGGGGGACATGGAAGTAGCAACAGCAAATGAGGCACTAAAGACCCTGGGTTAGTTCCCAGGATTGCCCAGCCCCAGGACCAGGTTGCCCAAATGGTCTCCTGGGTCAGCTGGCTGTGCCCAGGCCCCAGCACCGGGCTTGGCCTTGTTCAGTGTCTCCTTCAGCTCCAGCTGGGTCCAACGTCGAGGGCATCGTGGGCTGGTGACCCACCAGGACATCCCCAGCAGCGCTGCACGGGGTCAGCACAGGACTGCGTCCCTGGCTGTGAAAGCAACTCCTTCCCCCTGCCCATTAAGCAAATCCAACCTCTGCTTGGGGCTGTCGAGGGAAAAATGCAAAAAATTGTATTTTCAAGGGCCACATTTGGAAATGCAAGTTCATCCTTGCTGTGAGCTGGGACATGGACCTAGAGGATGGAGGAGCTACTGGGTCACAAAGAGGGGCGTCTGAAAGTCTCTACACAGGGCTCAAGCTCCCCCCCAACTCAGTAAAGCAAAGCTGTAGTAGGAATAAAAGCTACCAAGTCTTTCCAGACTCTCAGACATTGCTTTTCCAAAAACTTCTAAGGGGAAAATAATTTTAAAAATAGCTGAAGCTCATTACACAATCCAGACTCATGCTTGGCAGCTTCCAGAACAGAGCTCTGAATTTCAGCACAAAAATGCACAGCACGCTGCAAATCTGAGGAATAACACAGTGGCAAGGAGATGTAAAATACGATGGTGGCTGCAAAGGGCACCTGATGTGGCTGAGGTCGCCAGGAAGAGCCCCTGCGTGTTGGTGGCTCTTCCCAGCAATTTTGGCTGCCCCCACCAGCTGGAGCAGATAGTCTCACTGCCCTGCTGGCCAGAGGAAGCAGGGGGGTGTGGAAAAAATTTGGCAGATGAGAGTGCGTAAGGTCCTAGGAAACGGCATGTTCAGTTTTCTTTCCAATTTTAGCTTGTCCTTGACCTCTCTTTGCTCCTTCCCAGCAGGGCTGGCTCCGCTCTGTGCCCAGATGCCCCAGTGCAGAGGGATGTTTGTGGTGGTGCTCACCCCCAGCAGTTCCAGCCCTGGTTGCCGCAGCAACGCATCGCCCTGGAAACATCTTGGCCATATTTTAGCCAAAATCAAAGCAAACGTGCACCTGAGATGCTGGGGGTACTGAAGGGGATCTGCGGCCCCATTCCCATCGCACACCCCTGGGGCAGCTAGGCACTTGCCGCAGGACACAGCAACTCTTGGGCTCGTCCCACGAGCCATGGTGGTGGTTGCCCTCATGCACCGATGCTGGAGACCAGGTCTGCATCTGGAAAGAGGAGGCCAAGCAATGGCACTTTCCAAAAATTAGCATTTGCCTGGATGTCCCATGTCCCTTTTTGTAATCTCCTTTGGGATACAAAGGATTTGGGCTACCTGTGCAGCACCTTCCTCCTGCTCATAGCATTGGGAAGGGGCACATGGGGCCACATCCCAGCAAAAATGCGCCACGGACATTGCCCATGGACAGCGTGGCCGTGAACCCAGACTTGCTCCAAAACCCGACCTGCAGCTGCAGCAGGATTTTTCTGCTCAAAACACGACCGTGGGGAGAGCTTTGGGCGATGCAGAGATGGAAACACACTGCCCTGAGGCCCTGTGCCACCCCTCAGAGGAGCCCTAGTTATTTAATTATTATTTATTTAATAATTATCTCCTTTGGAGGTCATGGCAGGGCTTATTTAAATCTCCTCTCTCAGCTGGGGGAGATAAGGTGAGGACTATTCTGGATAGTCAAAATTAGCACTGTTTGTATTTCTGTGCCCCGAGAGCAAATTAGATGGTACTTAAAAAAATTCCCAACAGTAATATCATGCCACTCCTTTCATTTCGCCTTTGTCATCCCATGCCAAAGACAAGTTCAGCTCCATTTCTAGTTTGGCTGCTCTGAAAACCCACAAGAAATCCTGATCTGGTGAACACAACTCCTTTTACGGCTGAAGAATGCCCTGCCTGCACTCCTATGCAGCCCCGTGGGCTCCCAAATGTCCCCCAAATGAGCCACAGACAGAGTAAGAAAAGCAAAAAAAATAAAATAAAACAACAATCTCCCCCCAAAAAATAATCTGAGAGTCATCCAGTAAAATTGCTTTTATTTCTGTAATTTCATAAGTATAAAACAAATCAGCCCAATATCTGGATTGTACGGATTGTGACCATGAGGAACCTTCCCACACCTCCACAGCACACCTGGGTATTTACAGTTGGACAAAGGACACCAGTCAGGAAGCAGTAATTTAGTGGAAAAATATCTTTCATATAATAAAATAAGAAACGTCGTTTCTTTCAATTCTACCCCTCAGATAACACCCTCCCACCCCTCCAAGATACAATGATTTACTTTTTGCTACAAAGCACAAACTCAGATTTCTAGGTTTGGCTATTCAGGCATCTCATATAAAAAAAAATCAGGACATTCCCAAACCAAAGCCACTGCGGGCCCTGCCAGAGCCCAGCGTGGTCCCAAAGACCAGCCCAGCACCACCGCCAGCGAGGACACCGGCCGGCGGGACCCCTGTCCCTGTCACTCCCAGCACACACAGACTTAGGCTCAGTTAATGCCCTGCTCTTATAAAATCTGAATGGCACCAAGAGGACAGGTCCAGGGGGCAGTTTACCTTGCATCTCCACTCCCTCACTGCAGCACTACAAACCATGACCCAAACTGAGCCGTGCAAGCTCAGCACAGGGTGAAGCCCTTCTTCATCCCAAAATCCTGATCCCTGGGCCACCTCCCTGCTGGGGACAAGCCCTGCCAGAAAGTGCCACTGCAGAGATGAAGAAAAAAAGCCCAGCTGGGACTGAACAGGGAAAACTGAATCTCTGGCATCCTTCATGTAAGGTGATGGCCTTGCCAGGTATGGACCAAAAATCACAGTAAGTCTCAGTAGCTGGTATCAGGAACTCCTGTGTGTCTGAGTTTCAGGAGTGACACGATCTTGAGGTCACTGAACTTCGAGAACATCTCCCACCAACTGGGACAGCACTGGCCCACGCTCCCGCACAGCAGTGATGGGATGGGTGTTTGTGGAGCAGGACCCTGCCTGGGCAGCAGCACCGTGATGTCTGTGGTCCCTTCCAACCTGGTGTTCTATGATTCTATGAAAAAAGGGACCAAAAATTGCCACTGAGTTTTCCTATTGCTCCTCCTGCCATGCACACCGTGAGCAGAGCCTCCGTTCAACCCCACATTTGTTGCTCTTACAAGAATGAATTTCTCCAGCCCCTACAGCAAAGCCTGTCCCTCCTGCTCCTGACTTTTCCAGCACTTGGCAGTACCACCCAGCCTCAGCTGAGAAGAGCATCAGAAACACAGGTATGACCCTATCACAGTGCCAAAGTCTCAAACACCCAAACCAAAAACCTCATCCAGACCCTGAGCCATGCAGCGGTCCCATGAGAGAAATAAAACATGGGATGCAGCACTTCAATGCTCTGAAAAGCATCTCTCTTTTTCCTTTTCCAGCATACTTCCCAACAGGATCACACGCTGCAGAGCTCATCCAGGAACTGGCCACAATGACACAACAGCCCAAAACAGCCCAAAAGACTCGTCACAACTGCTGCCCAAAGCTGTCCCCACCAGGGATTCCGGACCCCCAGCTCACCCCTTGGCTGTAGCCCAGTATGGTGCCTGGGTCCTGAGAAAGGTGCATAAAGTGCTTGTGGACAACCCCTGCTGCCACCCCGGCACGTCCTCCGCTGTGCATCTTGCATCGCCGCTTCCCTGCGAGCGAAGCATCTGTCACAGCGGCTCTCTGACACTAAAGGTCTTGCTGGAAAGACCCAAGTTTCAATTTAAAACCCTGCATTTGCCAGGCAGCACCATCAAAACAAAACTAAAAAGGGAACAATTTCTCAACTCTGTTGTCGAAAAAGCAAGGATCCCAGAGGCTTGGCCCCTAAGCTGCCTTTTTTAACAAGCTCTTGGGCAAAACAGCCACCCAGTGCCCACCTCCTTTGTATTGCACAGTCAGATGCCTCGGTAAGATGCAAGACCCGATCCCAAAGCATTGGTCTCAGCTCTGGGATCTCCAAGTTTGCACAAGAACAAGCTCCAGCCTATAAGAGCGCCCAGCACACTGCTGGGAGCATACACACAATAAATAACTACCCCCTGATTTATACGAACCCTTCAATGAAGAATAAAGGAAAAACAATTGTATTTTTCTACTTCATTCAAATATTTGAACTATAAGCCTCTGCACTCAAAAAGCATGGAGTAAAACCCGTATTCCAAGTCATTAAAGGACGGGGGAGGAAAGAGACATGGTGAGCCATTCAGAAGGGGAAACGGGGATGAGTCAAAATGGTCCCTTCTAGCAAGTGAGATGCCTGCTTCTGGCAGCCTTAGTGCAGGTTTCCTTCACTATTTTCTAGGTAGATAGAGAGGCTTACAATAAAAAAACCAAATGCAATGTGCTGCTGCTGGGAAGAACAAGTCTTTGGCTGGGATACAGCTCTGGTTTCTCACCCGTGATGGCTTGGGTTTTGGCAACTCACACTTGCAACCCAATGACTGCACAAACAGACCAGGGTTGCCTGGGCTTGCAGCAGCGTGGGCTCCATCAGTGACAAAGTAACAGCAGCTCGGCATCTCTATCAACAATAAGATAACTAACTCAGCATCTCTTCACGTATCTTTTCTGGTAGGTTGTTCAGGATGCCTGGTACAGCCACCTCTAGCTCTCTGCTGTCAGACGAGACAAGGCAAAATTTACCAGCAGAAAATAATAGCAAGTTAAAATTTCATTATTTCATCTTTACTCTTAAATAGAGCTCTTTTTTCTCTTTTTGTTTGTTTGGCTTTTTTTCCTTTACACAAAAAACTCCTCCACACATATAGATATTTGAGTAAAATTAATAATCCTACACCAGACTTCAAACCCAGGGAAACCAGTTTGAGTGGAGCAATATGGAGTGGATGGACCAAGCAGGTCCCCACAGGTGTGATGGGCTGAGGCCACCCTGTCCCAGGGAGATGCCATGAGGCAGCTGAAAGCCACCCTGGGCCCTATGGATGGGGCTGGGATGCTCTGAATCCGGTCCAGCCTCTCCCAAACTGATTTTCAGCCTCAGGGACAGACAGAAACAATTTCCTCTGAAGTCACTGAACTGGTACTGGATCAAATTCCCACTGGTTCTCTCCCTGCCTAGAGAGCTGGAGGTGATCTGTGCTAAACCAAGGTGAAATCCACCCATTTTGGGGAAGGGGAAATGGCAAGTCTATGGTATGAGTCTGGCTGAAGCCTTACTTTGAAGTCTTAAGCAGTACCTGGGTCATGCCCTGGTCCTCTGCACCATGGTGAGTCTCATCCACGGTGAAAATCTTTACAGAGGAATTGGTTGCTCCATGGGATCATCAATGAAATCAATTAGACACAGCACGTTTGAAAAATAAAACTTCTTCAAGACAAAGTATAATAATATTTAAAAAAAAAATCAGCAACAATCTTCTAACCACAGAGTATCTATAAAGATCTTTTTAAAGAGCTTCATATTAAAATTCCTTGAATACATTACATATTAAATACAGTAACAACATTTCATGCAAGGTTTTCTGTACAATGAAATCAGCTCAGTAGTATAACAATTTTGTACATTCCCATTGGTCTGGGGGTTCTGCTCATTTTTTATGCTGGTGATGGAGAAAAGAAAGGCAAGATGATATTTGGCACCTACTGTACAGCGGCAGAGAAGATCTTGCCCAGGTGAAAGAGAAACAGAGAAGCACTGGAAGCTTTTAAGAGGCAAAAAGTAAAAGAAAAAAACTCAACAGGAGTTGAAACTCAACAGCAAATGCTATCCAAACCCCTGGCTCTAGTGCTGTTGCTGGAATTTAAGAGAAAGGAAAGATGTAGGGTCTGTCTAACCGAGTATCATCAGGACGGATCAGAGGGGAACACGAGTGAAACAGGAAAGAGGATTTGGAAAGGTGGAGAAGAAATCACCCGCTATTGGCTCCTCAGCTGACTCATCTCAATGGAGAAAGATCAATCTCCTGGATCCCTAAACCCATCCTTGACCCACAGACTCTCAGGGCAGCCTGCATCACTCCTGCTGCAGGAAAATCCCAGGGGATAAAATAAAGTTGGTGTCTCATAAAAAAGGGATGCCCCGACAAACACCGCTCACGGAGAAGGGGTACATTATGTACAAGCATACATTCATTCCCGTCTCGAAGGCAGACCACCGGCATGAAGGATGCCCTGTGCCAGACAGTGATGTCCCACCAGGCAGAGGACATGAACTCATGGACAAGCTCCTAAGGACTTAAGCTCTACTCCTGCAAGGGAGAGAGCTAAAAACCAACTGAGTACACAAAGCATGACCAGGAGCAAGCAGTAGACACGAGGAGCGCAAAGCTGGCCATCCCCATGCTGTGCTTTAAATGGTTGCCCTTACGAGGAAGGCGGCTACGGCTTAAATAGTGCAGGTGGCATCTAAGAAGACTTCAGACAGAGGAACAGAGAAGACTACGTCGTGCTTTGGTGTCGGATGAGCCTGAGAAGGTGTGGGACTTCCCACAACATGGGGATCAAACAGAACAGGGTGATAAATAGGGACAACTTCACCTTCCACTGCATGCACTTGACCTTGGCGCACAAACACACATCCATGAGAGCCACACCACAAGCAGTCACACCTTGAAGCTATTTTCAGCTTTTTCAGCCCACAGGCATTGAGGCCACCAACAACATGGACATCATCAAGGGTCACTGACCCCAACCCATGGTCCCCTCACTCCCTCCCCTGCCCTTGCCCACTGCCAAGCCCTTCCTGGCCCTCGAGCTGCCCTCTTGCATCCCTCCCTGCTGGGGAATGCAGCCTCCCACCTGCGCTCAGTGTATTGCCTAAACCCTGACTCCCCGCCTTGATCTCCCATGAAGGATGCCTTGCCTGAGCTCAACCCATCAGGGTGAAAATTGGAAAGAGGGCCTCAAATTTGACAGGAACAAATCCCCAAGGAACGGTGCTTCAATGACCCAGGTCCACACAGCTCCATCCCCAAACCCTATGCCAGCTGTCCAGTAATTGCACTCTTATGTACAGAAAAAAGAAAGCTATGAAAAAAACCAGAATCAGTATTTTTCTTTTCAGCGATTCACCCGCATTTGTCTGATACTTGGACACATGCATGTCCTGCTGGCTTCTAGCGATGGTCACGCATGCAAGACTTCAGTCCGAGTTACAAGTGAGGGATCCTTTAGGAAGAAGCGTTTCCTTTGTGTCATTCATTTCTTGTCCTCTTCTCCTGAAAAGAAGCGAAAAAGATAAGAAAAAGGATTGACGAGGGTTGAAAAGCAAACCAGCTTCCTGTTTTTGTTATCAAGAGAGGTTACTCCTGGGTTGATCTGGGTCCCTGGGTGAGGAAGGACTCAGCTGCTCAGCCTGCAGGAGGCAGGTTTTCCTGCCAGGGATGAGTCGGAGCTGTGCAGGCAGGACCAGCAGGAAAGCGAGCAGGCAGGGGTCCCTTCTTATCACTCCATCCCAAAGCCCTGTCCCCACCGTGGCCAGATGGATGGACACTGCTCCACTGGCAGGCAACACTGACATGCACTGTATATACATATTTACATCCATAGGTACCTCCAGGACAAGTAGCAAGGACCAATCTATCCACAGCAGTCGCTGCCCAGCCCCAGGGTTGCCTTCCTCCCTCCTCCCTATCCTGCTGATGGATGGAGTTGGAGGTGGAAGGTAACAGGCAACACAGGGCCTGAAGGAAAGCTCCAGTGTTCAGTTTGAACTCGGTGTGAGCAACCTCAAAATCTCTGCCAGAGCGTAACTCATGCCAACTCGATCCTCAGTTTTCAAGGAGCCAGCAGCAGCATCCCCAGGCGCCTGGGGCAGCAGCCGCTCTTCAGCCTGGGGCTGGGAGGGACCCTGCTGCCAGCTCCATCTGCCCAGAACATTTTTTTTTCTAAAAAAAACCCAAAAAAACCAGCCACAAGGCAGCATTTTCTGAGAGGAGTTAGAAAAATCACTTCTCATTAATCTTTTGACCATATTTCTCTATCTTTCATTGCTGCACACATCACCAAACTCATCTTGCAGAGGACCACTGTTGCTGTGCTCTTGATAAACGGGGTCTGCCTGGGGTTGCCAGCAAGGCTCCGCGCCCGCTGCCAGCCCTGCTGCCGACAAGCTTCCAGGGGAATAAATAAATAACAGGAGAGAGGGAGAGAAAGAAAAAACTTTTTTGCAACTTCTGCCAAAATTTCTTTCCACCGCTGGCTGGAGACCCCACTGAGATAAAACTGATGGCTGCAAAGGCAGCTTGGGGTGAACTCCCAGAGTGAAGCAAGGATGCTGGCAACTGCGCTGCATTAAATCTCATTGCAACAATCAAAATTCATCCAATCCGAGCTGCAGGGGGTCTCTTCAGCAGCGCCGGCAGCTGAGCAGTCCCTGCCGGCTGTTCTTTGCCAGCTGCAGTGCTTCCCTAAATGCTTTACCCTGGGGTTGTGCAAGCAAGGGGACAGCTGCCCCACACTTTTAGCCATGGCAGACGCTCGTCAAATTGTTACCCTCAGGCCTCTCAAGTAACCCCACTCCATGGCACAGAGCAAGCTGGGTGTTTCTGAGAACCGCAGTGAGGCCAGGGTCCAGCACCGCTTGGCTCTGGCAGGATGTAGGTCCCTGCATTCCAGTGCCTGCTCCTCTCCGCACTCCAGTGACGGGAGCAGAGGGGATGTGGGGACCTGGTTGGGGTGCATCCTGCCTCACACCAAATTTCTCAGCGCTGTCACAGTCCTTCAGCTCCTGCAACCGAACAACACAAGCTCATCTCCACTAAGATCTGCTCTGCTCTCCGCCAGGACAGCCCAGGCGTTTAGGGAGGTTTTTCCTTATTGCTTTTGACTTGCCTCTTAAGGGGTTCCTGTAAAAGGTAATGTTGGAGGGATGCAGACTCCAGCTGCCAGCCCAGATCCCTCCCTGCACCAAGGGAACGCTGCAGTCCTTGTAGCTCTGAAAACTGCATGTTCCCCTCATTGCATCCCGAGCTTCAGCTGAGACCCCAGACCCCGGGATAAAACCAAATGGGAAATCCTCCTCCCACCCCTTGGCAATACTGGGGCAGCTGCACCCAGAGTTTTCCTCTGCTCTTCCATTTCTAAAGCACAGCACACACACAAACACACAAAAAAAAACCAACAGGAGAGAAGGGGAAATAAAAAGAAAAATCAAAAGCAAGGCAGCAGAACTGTAAAATCCCATCTGGAGAGATTCTGGCACCCAAAGGTCCAGCACCGCTTTCCTTCAGAGCATCCCCTGGCTCCGACGAACAACTTGGCCCATGGGGACACATTCCTCCCCTGGCGCCAGTGCTCAGCCAAGGTAGCTCCGTGCAGAGTTTTCCCTACAAGGGCAGCCACAGCTGTGGGCTCCCAGCTCTCTGCCATGCTGGGGAGAGGGGTGCCAGCCTCCTCCGCAGGGAAACTGGGTGGCTGCAGCAGCCCCCGTGCTCCTGGGGGTGGTTTGGGGGCTGCCTTTTTCACTATGTGCTAGAGGGTTTTTGTGATGGGCCACTGAGATTTTGGTCCCTGCAGATTTTGGGCTGTCCCAGAAGGCTGCAGAGCCCTGGCTGGCCCTGATGCACTTGTCACCGCACAGCCACCTCTGTCAGCTGCTCATCTCTGGGAGAATGTTAAAGCATGAAGATGACACCAACTTTGCATATAAGAGGCTAAACGGCAGCAGTGGAGCTCACCCAACGGTGCAACCTCCCCAGCACGACACCTGCAGTGGCAGGAGGCTGGGGAGCCATGGGGAGGGGACAGGGACTCAGCGGTACGGCCATCACCTTGCAGCTCCTGCAAAATCACTCAGGGGTGGCCGTTTTCACTGGGTGTAAGGACAAACAGCTGCATAAATGCTAATCTACCACAAAACACGCCAAGACGATTCTTGTGCAACAAAATTTCTGATTTTTAGTGATGCTGCTGCTGTCGGGGCAGTTCTGTAGCTGTGGGGCAGAAAGCACCTGCCTCTTCACTTGGCCCCGCTCTTACCACAGCACAGGGTAGAAGCAGTGAAGCCCAAGCATCGTGGCAGGACCTGCTGCCCAAGAGGCTGAAAACAAGTGAAATCATCGCAGAGGCAACACCGACACCTGTAATGGGTTTGCTTTGTGTGATGGACACCCGAGAAGGTCTTGCAGAACATCTCCATGTTCCTGGTCAGAACATCTGCAGGTCCTACTGAGCCAACCTAGCTCAGCTGTGCACCTGCATTGCATCCCAAAACTGAGAGAGCAGAAACCTCAGAGGGGCCAGAGATGGGTGAAGGCCGACACACAAAAAAAAACAATGGGAAGCTAGGAGTGACCAGGGTAATGGGGAAAGGAACGTAAAACACTGAGACCATGGTGAAAAGTGAAGTCTCTGCTTTTTGCCACTTCAAGGACAAGGAAAATCCAGCGTAATGGAAACACAACTTATCTCAATCTGATCAAAGGAGAAATTTTTCCATGCAAAATCTGAATCAGCAGAACTCACAGCTATATATTTGCATTGCTCAACTGTACACCCTTGGCCATCCCTTAGAAGGTCCCATGCTGGAGACCATCCCTAAGCGTTGGCTTGCAGAGACTAGCGGTAGCCTGACCCCCTGGCCAAAACTGCCATGCATATGGCTGCTTCAGGGCCTTTTTAGACCTTGTTTTGAAGGAAAACACAGAGGCCAGTGTGGGAAAGGAGAACCTGTCTGGGTACTGGGTCCCTGGGCTCCATTACTGGCCGGTTTTCCAAGCCACATTCACCAGGACACAACTCAAGCAGGTTCCCACCGCACGAGCAAGACTTTGGAAGAAGCATGAAGATACAGCATTTAGGGATGAGACACGTAAGAAAGCCAACCCTTGCTCTGGAGTCCTGCAGCTTTTCAACTGGTGCTCCCCACTCCACGTGTGTCTTACTGTCCTGAGAATGCCTGGTAAAAAATACAACATAACATTTAAAAGTGGCTTTTGGAGAGTTTTTGTTTGCTTTTCAAGGCTCAGATGAATTAGGAAGATGCAGGATTTCCATAATTTGTTTTCAATGAGATGATTTAAGAGTGATTTTGCCCCGTAGCCATGATTGAATGGGAAACCCTTGCAGGATGAGACACAGAGCGACCTGTGAGCATCAGCAGCATGGTGATCATGGGGATGAAGGTGGCTCAGAGGACCCAGCATGTTGGGAGCATGGCACAAGAGGAGGAAACCCTCAGAGCTGGTGTGATGGGACTCAAAAGGATCACACGCCTGCCAGAAACCCTGCTGTGCTTGAAGCTGCGCTGGCAGAGCTGCAGGAAAGCCTTTTCTCCAACCGTGCCGAGTCGTTACAGAGAAATGCAAAGCGTAGGAGAAAAACAGACTCATCCCCAGCTCACAGATGGTGAAGTGTAGATCGAGGGCATGCATAGTCTGCAACAGCCAGGAATTAAACCAGCAATACTGTGTCCTAGCCCAGTGCCATGCCATGAAATTGTTGCTAGAGCCTTGCAGTCGTGTGATAAAACAAGCCAAGTGATGCAAGGCACCCATCAGTCTGTTGAGACATGCAACAATTAAAAAGAAGCTAGAAACAGTTTGTATCTGGTCTGTAAAAACTGGGGCCCCTGCACCTCCGTTTCTCAGCAAAGGCTTCACTGCGCAGTCGCTGTGGCCATGCATCAGCTTGCCACAGGCAGGAGAGTTGACGGGAGCACCTTCAGTGCGTCGGGAGCCGGCAATGGGGAGCGCAACCAGATTGTGACCGATTCCTGCTTGCAATAATTTCCCATCTCCTATTTCCAGCTTTTTGCATGGTTCTGCTCCATAAGGAACCTATCAGGACTATTATGATGCCCCAAACTCTTCCATGCCGGGGCTGGACAGACCTGCCTTCAGCTCTGAAATGCAAGAGTGGCTTTGCATAGTTTTCCTGAGCCATTAGTAAAGAGTGAAGGTAAAAGAAAGGGGTTTGCTAGCATGCTGGTTGCTTAAGGGGAGAAGAAAGGGTTTGAGCAAAGTGATGCTGTGGAAGGACATCCAGTCCCCAGACTTGGGTTGCTCATCTGCCCCCCAGGGCCACCACAGCTTCCCCAGGCAAGGACAGTGTCTCTCCTGTCCTCCTTCTCCCTGCCATCACTGCTGGGGCAAACACATCCTAAAAAATGAATCCAATCTGTTTTTCTGGAGAGCACTGCTCAGCACCCACGGCCCCGCTGCCAGGAGAACCAGAGGGCTTAACTCACTGTTGAGATACTGCCACAGCAACGGCTTTTGCAAGAAATGAAAGAAAAGATGATACTATCTCTTTGGAGGGCTGTCTGAACACACACAGTGATTTACAGCGTGCAGCCTGGGAGCATACAGGAACGGCTGTATGGGAGCTGCTCCTCCTCCACGTATGCCATGGGCTGTGAGCTGCTGGCCAAGGGCAACCCCATTAAGACCAGTTTATAAGGTGGTCAGCTCTCGCTTGATATTAACACAGAGGCAGCAAACACAAGATAAGGATGGACACAGAGGGGTGGGAGATTGAGGGGGGAAATAGGAAGGATTCCTGTTAGAAACCAGTGTTTGTTTTGCTTTCTAAGAGAAGGGATCCAGTTCCCAGAGGTTCAAGAGGAGCTGAATAAACACCCGTGGCAGATTTACCTCGTGTCTCAGCTCCTAAGTGAGTGTTTGAAGCAGACCTAAGTACATTTTTCACAGCAAAGCTGGATGAACATGCAGATGCAGACAATATGCAAGCGGAAAAGGTGAGTGAGGTGTGTCCAGAGACACCATGAACCCCAAGCAAAGCGTCATGGAGCAAACATAACCGAGACCATGCTCACCATCCAGGTGGTTGCGGGAAAGGTACTTGAGTCCTTCGTCCAGCAGGATAACGGGCAGGGAGATTTTCATGACAACCACCCACTGTGGCCAGCTCAGGGGGGTTACCTGGAAGATGAGCTGCAAGGAGGAAAGGATTGGACACATCAATGGGAAAGGAAGTGGGATTTTGTTTGTTTTAAAGGTCAGTTTGTTGTGTGGCACAGGTTGAGAAAGGGTCATCCCAGGTACAGGGAGGGAGGATCCGGACAGTCCAAAAAGCATGAGTTCTTCAAAGTGGCTCTTGGCCAAGATGACTCAAAAATTATGTCTTTCTCATATCCTGCAGATAGAGAAAATGAGGCACAAGCTAGGACTGTACATTCATGTGCTCACAGGCACTTACCAGGGGACAAAGGACAATGTAACCTCCTGGGCACGGTGACATGCTTCATCTTAAGCAGCCTTAGGCATCAACCAAGGGACCACCAGCCTTGGACTGCAAAGGGAGGCAATGTTTCCAAAAGAGGTTGAACCACCTTTTGGAGATATCTACAGCCCTTTGCGTTGCCTAAGGGGAAAGCTTCTGACTTAGGTAAAGGCTCATTGGGGCAGGGTGATTTCTATGTTGGTTCAAGTCACAGAACGTGGTCCTGAGGGAACGTGCTGGGGACAACCATCCCAGAAGCTTCCAGACCCAAAGACTGCTCCAGAGATGTCCTCGCCCATAAGGAGAAGTCCCCTGGGCTATGCGTGGAGGTGGCACAGGGCACTCACAGGCATGGGCTTGACATAGAGGATGAGGAAGTGCAGAGCCATGGACATGACAATAGCTCCCAGCAGCCAGATGTTGAGCCATGGTGGCATCCGCAGCAGCGACTGGTTCTCGGAGACACTGTGAAAGTGAGGGGACAACATCAGCTCCAGTAACCTCCTGCTCCCTGTGCCTGCCCAAGCCGGGGGTTCCCACTCCTCTCCAAGGTGCAGGGCTGTATGCTACAGCCCGCCTCTCCCAGACCGCTTAGCTTCAGGCTTTGCTGCAATTTGGATCTGGACACCCATCTCAATGCAATCAGGTGTGCATGAATTAGGACCTGTTATTAAATAGGGCCAGATCACTAACAGATGCGGACCCAGTCCTTCCTCCACTGCTGCCCTGGAGGAGTTTATTTACAGCAAACCCAGTGGTCCTCTGCGAGAAGACTCCAAATGGCTCTGCTGAGTCAAAGCAAAGCCCTCAGCCCACCAATAGATGCTTAGAGACACCCCAAACTGGTCACGTGTAAAGCATATAGGGCAATCTTGCAGCCACTCTACCTGTTCAGAGCATTGCACATTTCGATCGTCACCAGCACGGACAGAGCCATTGTAGTTGGGTACCGGGACTCGAAGATCTCACAGTCGATTCCTTCAAAGATGGGGTTGTCCTCAGTGCACCTCATGAAGTTCCTCTGTCGGCACAGCAAACCGCTGGTAAATACATGGCAGAGCAGCAGTGTAGGAAAGACAGGGAAGAGGAGGAAGAAGTCGACTGGTTGGGGGCACATGGTGAACCTTGATTATTAGGGGTGCTGTCAAATATGCCACAGTTCAGAGCAACCGATGAAACTGTCTAAAGTGACTCAGCTTCTGCTGCAGCTGGGGATTTGGGGTTATGGTTGAACAGTGGCTTAGAGGTTTCCGTGTGCAGTTCAGTTGTTTGAGCACACATTCACCTCCAACAAAAACACACCTTGCACTGGACATGACATTAGGGTGCGATGGCACCTGCTCCCCTACCACCTTGCCCAGACCTACAGTAATGTAGGAATCAACCCCTTTCAACATGGGATCAGGTACAGGAACTACTTTGGGCTTCTTTGGATCAAGCTGGTCACTGGCAGGTAAGGCTGGAAACATGAGCCTGATGGAGAGAATTTGCTTTTCTTTTTAAATTAACATCTTCACCAGGAATTTTGGAATGCTACAATAACCACAGAAAAAAGGTAGAGGGAATCCTGAATCCATGCCCTCACCCATCTGCTCAACACATTTCCCTGTTCCCCTCCTGACTCACCAGCTGGTGGAAGGAGACTTGCGGTCCCTCGGTGTCGTACAGGAACCACCAGGTCGCTGCGCCCACCGTGGCCAGGCCCACGTACACTGCAGCCAAGAAAGACAACCTTACCCCCAGCACCCAGAAAGTGGTCCCATATCCCACATCACCCCTTGCCTGCCCTTGTCCTCTGCCCACCAGCACCTGCAAGGGCTCACCTCCGATGGCCAGGTAGCGGAAGAAGAGCCAGCCGCTGATGAGGGGCTCCTTGGGGTTGCGGGGCAGCTTGTCCATGATGTCCAGGTCAGGGGGGTTGAAGCCCAGCGCGGTGGCTGGCAGTCCATCTGTCACCAGGTTCACCCACAGCAGCTGCACGGGGATGAGGGCCTCAGGCAAGCCCAGGATGGCTGTCAGGAAGATGCTGTGGTGACAAAAAAAGAGATGCCAAATTAGATGAGCTCTGGGCAGCCAGAGAAAGTGTCTGTGATGTACAAGGGGAGAGCGAGCAGGCACCCTGAATCTAAAAACCCCAAAGTGAATTCATTCAAAGTCCTGCAGATGAACCTGCAGCCCCTGAGACAGTAATCTGAAGTCCAAGACTGACTTTTGCAGCAAAAAATTGTTCTTGTTGCTATTAAGATTTGCTTTGTGGCTGAAACCCAACCATTGACCTCCCCACAGCCACATGGGATCCCATTCCCAGCCCAAACTCCTGCTAGGAAGGATGCCCGAGTGACCCCAAGGCTGTGCCCACACTGTTTAGGATGGCGCTCGCTTACTGGGAGGGCTGGGTAGGGACAGGAAGAGCTGCCCAGGACCTGATGCAAACTGCGTTGGGGTGACCTGGTGACAACAGCCTATGCACGAGTATCTGCACCCGTCTGAGACTGTGGCATGGGCTGAGTATAAGACTAAAAAAGAAAAATCCCCCTGCCCCTGGGGAACGAGACAAGGCACAGCTGCTCCATTTGGTACTCGGGGTTACAATTTTGGGCACCACATGCTGCCAGGGGCAGGGGACACAGACAAGACTGCAGGTCTCCTGCCTCAGGGGATGTGTCCCCACTGCTGTTTACCCCAGCATGGTGCCCAGTGCTGCTCTCACCAAACGACTTCCCCAACATTGGAGGAGATGAGATAGCGGATGAACTGCTTCATGTTGTTATAAATGGCCCTGCCCTCCTCGACGGCCGACACGATGGTGGAGAAGTTGTCGTCAGAGAGCACCATCTCAGCAGCTGACTTGGCCACGGCTGTGCCTGACCCCATGGCGATGCCGATCTCGGCTTTCTTCAGGGCCGGGGCATCATTGACGCCGTCGCCTGTCTGCATGAAGACGTGATTAACAGGGTGCAAGGGACCGGGCCAGGAGGAGAGGAGGGGCCACAGGGTAGTGGGACATCCTTGGGGGACTCACCATGGCGGTGATCTCATGGAAGGACTGCAGGTACTCGACAATGCGGGACTTGTGCGCTGGCTCCACGCGGGCAAAGCATCGGGCATCGCGGCACGCCTGCCGCTGTGCCTCGGGGGGCAGCTCGTCAAATTCTCGGCCCGTGTAGGCTTTGCCAGCCACGTCCTCGCTCTCCGAGAAGATGCCGATCCTGCGGCAGATGGCCACTGCTGTGCCCTTGTTGTCACCGGTGATCATGATGACACGGATACCGGCCTTGCGGCACATCTCGATGGAAGAGGTGACCTCCTTGCGGGGAGGGTCCAGCATCCCCACGCAGCCCACAAAGGTCAGGTTGTTCTGGGGGGGTGGACAGCCCCAGACCCACATTAACCTCCAGTGGTGCAGCCACTTCCCTCCCTGCTGCAAAACCACCCTGGGCATGGGGATTTCCCTGGGAGGAACCTTTCAGGAAGTTTTCTACCAACAGCCCCAAGGATGCACCCTACAGCACCAATGCACTGGGACACTCCTGTACCCTTTGCTGCATCTCACACCTTTCTGCTTTGCTTCCCTCCTCCCTGTCCCTCTTGGTGGTCCTTGGACCCCTCTCAGTGGTCACCCCATGGGGATGGTGGGACAGGACTCTTGGCCTCAGGACGGTCCTCACTACAGACAGCTCCGCACCAGGGTTTGCAGAGGAGGAGCTGAGCCATTGCATTGCCCACAGGGAAACCAGGGAGAAAATACTGCTGGGGCAGCTGGAAGTGGGTGGGAAAACTTTGAGAACAAGGAAAAAAGCTCCTGGAAAAAGGCCCCAGAGCCGTACCTCGTAGTGGACAAAGGTGGCAGAGTCGTGCAGCTGCATGGTCTCCCTGCGGACAGGCGAGTCATGGGTGGCCAGGGCCAGGCAGCGCAGCGTGTCGATGCCCATGCCCCAGTCCCGGATCCTGCCTAGGATCTTCTCCCGCACCGGGGCCGTCATTGGGACCCTGGCAGTGCCCACACGGATGTGGGTGCAGCGCTCGAGCACGCTTTCCGGGGCACCCTAGGGAGGAGTGGTGGGTTTAAGGGCTGGAATGAACCTGGATGAGCATCTCTTGCCAGTACCAAAGGGAGCTGAAAGGCTCCAAGGAGGTAGGGAAGGCACCGAGTTTGGGCAAAGGAGAAGGAAATCTCCCTCAAAACTCGAGCACACACATCCCAGCACACTGCTCGGCGCGCTAGATGGCAGCCTCTGACCGAGTGCATGGGGACCGTGGCCAGGAAGGATGAACTTGTGTCAGGTCACCAGACGCAGGATCTGCTCTGCGGGGGAATCCATCTGACTCCTGCAAAACCTACACATCTGCCCAGGGTACTCCCACCCTGGGATCCCCTCTCAGGCCTGGAAGGGATTAGGGCTGTAAGTCTCGCCTGAAAAAACGTGCTGCCTGAGGGATGCTCAGTGGATCTTGCGATGCTTTTGCAATTCAGGAAAACACTGCATCTCACCACATCCCTTCTGACCTTACAAAAGAGCCCTGACATTGTTTTTTAATATAAAACTTGCAATGTTTCTGTTGCTCCTGTTGAAAAAGCTTGCCCAGGATCAGCAGGACCAGAGATGTAGTGGCTCCAGGCAGTCCCAACCTGACCTGGAGGACAGAGCTCAACCATCCAGAAAATCTCTCAGTAGGAACAACAATATACAAATCCTCTTGGAGTCAGCAGGGGGAAATTCCT